GACCTCTCTAAGCTGTACTGCATGTATCCAGTTAATCACACCTTACGTTATCTTAGATTATGTTGGCCTGTTCAGTTGGCATCTTGTAGATTAAGATAACGATAGATTCGTCTTTGTAAAGATGTTTTACTGCTGCTGAAACTCTACAAGAGCTCCAACTCTCTAAAGTTAGATCAAAATAGGTTACTTCTACACTCTGCGATAATTGACAATCTAATTTAACCAGCTGATTTAACTAGGTACGACATATATATATATATGTCGTACCTAGTAGCCAGAACGCACTTCTCAGCCTACTATGCAAGGTCCGATTTGCCTAATAAGCCAAGTTTTCATCAATTAATTGTTTCTCGACTACCTAACCTACCTAACCTAACCTAACCTAACTTTTTCTGCTACCTAACCTAACCTAACCTTTAGAGATAGGTTAGGTTAGGTTAGGTAGGTTGGTTAGGTTCGGTCATATATCTACGTTAATTTTAACTTCAAAAACAAAAAATTGACCTCATACATAATGAAATGGGTAGCTTTATCATTTCATAAGAAAACAATTAGAGAAAATATATTAATTCAGGAAAACCTGGCTTATTAGGCAAATCAGGCCTTGCATAGTAGGCTGAGAAGTGCGTTCTGGCTACTAGGTACGACATTTTATATATATATATATATATATATATATATATATATATATATATATATATATATATATATATATATATATATATATATCTACAAAATGTGATATATAAACCGGTTACAGTGACAATAGTGTGTAGTAGAGATGGTTACAGCGATGAAGGTCGAGTTTACTGAAGATGGTTCAAGTAAGAATAGAGTATATTGAAAAAGTGGCTTCCATCACCCCGAGCAAAGCGGGTAACCAAGCTATTATGTCAATAAACTCTTGCTTTAGAAACATGCAATGGGAAAAAAATATCACTGTGTACTTATCAAATCGTCCAAGTGCTCGAGTGGAAAATAAATAGCCCCTATAGTGTTGCAATAGTGAGATCATTCCTTCAGAAGAGAAAGGTTATAACCTTTTTAATAGAGCAGCCAAACAATTTCCTATTCAGAGATATGCACACTATTCCATTTTCAGGAGCGTGATGGATGAGCATTTTCAATTTGGTAGTATTGTCTGGGGAATTGGTAAATTGGCCTCGTAGCTAACAGGACCAGCTCCCACCACATGACCTCACCTTTCCAAATATGATGTTGTGTGTAGTGTGTGTGTGTGTGTGTGTGTGTGTGTGTGTGTGTGTGTGTGTGTGTGTGTGTGTGTGTGTGTGTGGTTAGTGTGTGTGTGTGTAGTGTGTGTGTAGTGTGTGTGTGTGTGTGTGTGTGTGTGTGTGTGTGTGTGTGTGTGTGTTTAGGAACGAGTGTATTAGAACGAGTATAAGGTGTTGAAAAAGATGAGTTGGTGATGAGAGAGAGAGACAGAGAGAGAGAGAGAGAGAGAGAGAGAGAGAGAGAGAGAGAGAGAGAGAGAGAGAGAGAGAGAGAGAGAGAGAGAGAGAGAGAGAGACAGAGAGAGAGAGAGAGAGAGAGAGAGAGACAGAGAGAGAGAGAGAGAGAGAGAGAGACAGAGAGACAGAGAGAGAGAGAGAGAGAGAGAGAGAGAGAGAGAGAGAGAGAGAGAGAGAGAGAGAGAGAGAGAGAGAGAGAGAGAGAGAGAGAGAGAGACAGAGAGAGACAGAGAGACAGAGAGAGAGAGAGAGAGAGAGAGAGAGAGAGAGAGAGAGAGACAGAGAGAGACAGAGAGAGAGATAGAGAGAGAGAGAGAGAGAGAGAGAGAGAGAGAGAGAGAGAGAGAGAGAGAGAGAGAGAGAGAGAGAGACAGAGAGAGAGAGAGAGAGAGAGAGAGACAGAGAGAGTGACAGAGAGAGAGAGAGAGAGAGAGAGAGAGAGAGAGAGAGAGAGAGAGAGAGAGAGAGAGAGATAGAGAGAGAGAGAGAGAGAGAGAGAGAGAGAGAGAGAGAGAGAGAGAGAGAGAGAGAGAGAGAGAGAGAGAGAGAGAGAGAGACAGAGAGAGAGAGAGAGAGAGAGAGAGAGAGAGAGAGAGAGAGAGAGAGAGAGAGAGAGAGAGAGAGACAGAGACAGAGACAGAGAAAAGAGAGAGACAGAGACAGAGAGAAAGAGAGCTCCTCTACTATTTTCTGCTTTCTCCTCCCAACACTCCCTCGGCCTCACCCTTCTCTTTGACCATTAAACTAATCACAGCACTAAATCTCCCCTCATCCTGAGCGCTCCCAAACACTGGTTCATTTAGACTCAAACTGCGTTATTGAGGATACATATCGGTCCCATCTCGAGTCACGAGCCTCGCCTCTTAGCCTAATAATGGTTAAAGTCACTTCTACATCCTACGAGCGCATTAACCGACCCTCGCTACAAGGGGTTAAAGCAGCTTCTATATCCTATGAGTGCGTTACCCGACGCGCGTGATTTGGGTTAAGGCCTCTTCTACATCCTACGAGTGAATTATCTGTCGTTTGGGCAAAGCCACTTCTACAAGAACGTTTTCTGATGCTTTTGACGCTAATCTGATGATCACTTCGAGGGAAAAACTGTCTTCTACGTCCATGGAACGAGTTGTCTAACACCTTGTCCTTTGACTCAACACATTCACGAGCTCATATTCGCTTATCATGTTCACATTAACGATGTCTCAACTTAGTTGGGAAATGATGATTCCCGCCGCTGGATAGAAAAAAGGAATTATCAGGGGGAAAGCGCCAAGCAATTACGACTATATAGCACTTGGGAAGGGATCAGGATAAGGATATGTGATGGGACGGGGAGGGGGTAAGGAATGGTGCCTAATCACTTGGACGGCCGGCGATTGAACCGCTGTTCAATCTACGGTATTGGATTGAATCACTCCAATACCGTAGATGAGCACTTATTGGATTGAATCAATTGAATCAATCCAATTCGCGGTATTGAAAGATACCGCTGGCTAGATGTGGTATATTGAAGTGCACTCTGTGTGTTGCATTGCACCCAGCGTTCTGCCCTCACGTGCACACCGCAGAACGTATGGTCCTAGTAAGCTGTAAGCATGGGTGAAGTCCTAGCACGTCGAGTGCCCCTGTGAAGCCCTAATTTTGTTACATTCTTGTACAGCCACTAGTACGCGTAGCGTTTCAGGCAAGTCCTTAATCCTATGGTCCCTGGAATACGATCCCCTGCCGCGAAGAATCGTTTTTTCATCCAAGTACACATTTTACTGTTGCGTTAAACAGAGGCTACAGTTAAGGAATTGCGCCCAGTAAATCCTCCCCGGCCAGGATACGAACCCATGACATAGCGCTCGCGGAACGCCAGGCGAGTGTCTTACCACTACACCACGGAGACTGCTTGATACCAGCACGGTGAGTCGTGCCCTACGGCCGTGGTGGTGTGCCCATTGTGTGGGTAGATAGGACGATATGAAGCATTTACGCTGTAGAACTGGTACCAAGGAGCCATATCCGGCTTGGGAGATGCACTTAGTGATTCCGGGATTCTAGGTAGGTCGTTGAAGGTCTGATAAGGGAACGAACTGGTTAGTTCGTTAGTTCCCACGATTGAGGCTGTGAGTAGTAATGCATTCATGACGTCATACCACCCACATATAGGCCTACATGATTGGAACAAGCATGTGTGTCCTGTCAACTCACTGGCTAATTCATAGATCTGACTGTTTCCTAAGAGGCTTCGAGAGAACCTCAACCACCTTGCCTGACTATTCTAAACAGGTACGTTTAGCGGGAGTGTGCCTTTCCATTGGAGACTTTCAGCGCCGTGGAGAGGGGGGACCTGCTGCATGGGTAACAGCTTCTCCCCCGAATCAACCTACCCTGGCTTTGTGCCCTGGTGAGGCCGCTCCAGACCGACAACCAGAGCGCAACTCCATAGTCTCCTGAGACTGATGGATGCCTACTACGTTGCTACGAGAAATTTGGGGTATATTTTGTTTATCGGCCAATAGACATTATTTATGCCACTAAGTCCACCAACACGTCAAGTTAACTCACTTCATATTCATTATATCTGCGTAGGCCTGGAATTAGGTCCGTTATTTATTATCGAGATTGAGTATTAGGGTAAGACAGACACTTCAAGGTATCATCAGAGAAACTGTGTTGATTGTAATCGTGTGAAATCGAAGTCATCCGTGAAGGTCAACTCCTGAAAGTGTATCAGCTGACATTGCATAAGGTATAGCAGTGTCGCCGCATATATTTTCTGGGAGTAAATTCCTCTCAAGCAGCTTCCTAGCGAGGATTGACTGCCGCTGCACGCCTCTCATTATGTCCGGCCCTGAACCCTCCGCATGTAACCGCCACCGATCATGAGAGTCGTCCACCGCAGCCTGGTTGAGAGTTTTCACCTCTGGACACTTCCCCCGGGCATTTTTAACACAGCCTCTCCATGGTTATGTTTATACAACGAATATGCTCCTCGACACACCTGACTGTTTTCCTTCGTAACACAAGGAATTATCTCGACCTCAGCAGTGTTAAAAGTCAAATTCGTCTCGGTCTTAATATCGCCACGTCAATAACATCTTCATCTCTACAGCACTGCAAGACATCTTCACCACGATCTTTTGAGCTCTAGAAGGCACCTTCGTCACGACCTCTTGAGCTCTAGAAGGCACCCTCACCACGACCTCTTCAGCTCTAGAAGGCACCCTCGTCACGACCTCTTGAGCTCTAGAAGGCACCCTCCCCACGACCTCTTGAACTCTAGAAGGCACTCTCACCACGACCTCTTGTGCTCTAGAAGGCACCCTCACCACGACCTCTTCAGCTCTAGAAGGCACCCTCACCACGACCTCTTCAGCTCTAGAAGGCACCCTCGTCACGACCTCTTGAGCTCTAGAAGGCATCTTCACCACGACCTCTTCAGCTCTAGAAGGCACCCTCACCACGACCTCTTGAGCTCTAGAAGGCACCCTCCCCACGACCTCTTGAACTCTAGAAGGCACTCTCACCACGACCTCTTGTGCTCTAGAAGGCACCCCTCACCACGACTTTTTGAGCTCTAGAAGGCACCCTCACCACGACCTCTTGTGCTCTAGAAGGCACCCTCACCACGACCTCTTGAGCTCTAGAAGGCATCTTCACCACGATCTCTTGAGCTCTAGAAGGCATCTTCACCACGATCTCTTGAGCTCTAGAAGACACCTTCGCCACGACCTCTTGAGCTCTAGAAGGCACCTTTACCACGACCTCTTGAGCTCTAGAAGGCACACTCACCACGACCTCTTGAGCTCTAGAAGGCACCCTCTCCACGTACTCTTCAGCTCTAGAAGGCACCCTCACCACGACCTCTTGAGCTCTAGAAGGCACACTCACCACGACCTCTTGAGCTCTAGAAGGCACCTTCACCACGACCTCTTGAGCTCTAGAAGGCACCCTCACCCCGACCTCTTGAGCTCTAGAAGGCACCTTCACTACGACCTCTTGAGCTCTAGAAGGCACCTTCACTCTAACGTCTACAAAATGCGTGTCAATACATCTCTGTCTCTACCTCACTGTAAGTCACCTTCACCCCGACCTCTACAGCTTAGCATGACGCCCACACCCACACCTACGCACGCTGCTGCACTTCTGAAGCACAAACAAAAATAGCTTCTCCGGCTCACCTTTTATAAATCGCATGCGACGTCACAGTCCTTAAATTATAGACCACTCTCCTGGGAGCTATTCATTAACTACACTTAAAATCGTCTACAGAAATCGACTTTTAAGTTCACACTGTGTCAAGTCTTCACTGTCGATAGCAACCAAAGTGGCGGACAATATCGACAGGGGTGAACACATCATCAATGACGACATCACAGATAGTGGTGACCTTTAGAACGGTAGTAACCTTATAAATATGGGTGACATTATCGACGGCAATCGATTGAGATGACATTTCGAAGGTGTTGACTTTATCGACCAGCGGTGATTGCATAGATCGACTACGATGCTTTCATTATCAGAATCGCTAAGGACAAGAGCGACGTTGTCGACACTGGTGACAATCGATAAGATCACCATCAATCGAAGAATGATGGTGACCCTATCTAGACGAACGTGATCTCGCGTTTTCGACGTATTATTTTATTAAACGTAATCATATCAAGTTCGGGAAAATACTGAACCACTGAAATCAAGTTTAGTTAATAACTGAGGCAGATATTACCTGAAGTTATTAATAACTGAATCAGATAATTATCATTACTTATAAGGGTTTGAAATGCATATTCATTAAGAATAAACTAAACACTGTACCGAAAGAAGTAACTTTTTTTTAATAAAGTGTGTAAAATGATTTATTTAAGCTTTCATTTACAAAAGCTGAGGATTTAAACCTGATATAATTATTAAAGAAAAATAATGCCAATCCATAAAAAGGAAAACATATATTTCTTCCCTTAACAACCCTCCAATTAGCCCCATTTATGGAGCTTTAATAACATGTGACGTTTATATTCATCTCGATAAAAAACTTAATTTAATACAATGTATTTACCTGTTGAGTAAACGTTCTCGTTTATATCTGTGGTCCGGGTTCGAATCTCCCCCCTTGATCCGAGTTTATGAAATGAATAATATATTTACCAGTTGGTATTAATGTTTTATAATTTGACTAGAAGAGCTGGTGTCTGTCTGTCTGTCTGTCTCTCTCTCTCTCTCTCTCTCTCTCTCTCTCTCTCTTTCTCTCTCTCTCTCTCTTCCTGTCTCCATTCCTTCGTCCCTCCCGCCCTCTTGTTCCTTCCCGTTCCTCTTTGCCTCTCTATAAATTGCAAAGTTCCATGTACCTCATACCTGTCAGGTCTGAAGGGTCCAATGACCGGACGCTCAATATGATCATGACAGAGCTCTTGCACACAGAGTTTACACACGTGACGCTCAAGGTTACAAGGCCCGGGGAGCTATTCGAATTCCAGCGCCTCGTTTGAGGTATGAAATGTGCGTTTGATTGTCCATAGACATTTGTCCCCACCTGCCACAGGTAACAGAAAGCCAACCTGATCCTGGCAACCACTAAGTCGCATTGTCTATTAGATGTTTTGGGCTGCATATATACATAGGCTACAGATCTAAACTCATCATAATTTTTTAATAGTGTTGCTTTTCGACCAACCACTTGGGCTGGACGGTTGAGCGACGGTCTCGCTTCTTGCAGGTCGCCGTTCAAACCCCGACCGTCCAAGTGGTTGGGCACCATTCCTTCCCCCCGTCCCATCCCAAATCCTTATCCTGATTCCTTCTTAGTGCTATATGGTCGTAATGGTTTGGCGGTTTTCCCCGATAGTTCCCTTCTCTTTACAGGCCTTTGAAAGTTTATGATCGAAAACACACATAAAAATTCCTACAACACTCTATGGACAATCAAGCCCACATTTCATACTTTTTACGAGGGGCTGGAATTTGAATAGGGACCGATCCTTCTTATCGGATCAGACCGATCCTTCTTATCGGATCGGACCGATTCGGGGGGGGGGGGGCATTAGGTCGACCCCAAAACACACTATGGCACTCGCAATACATTCGCACATCACCATGCAAAGTTCCGTGAGGCTATTCCCTAGAAGTCTGGCCTCTCTTATCCGATAAACAGAGAAATCCTGAAATTTACTTGAAAGAAAACAATATACATTTAATATTTTTCCAAATGTTTTTGAAGTAGTGGATAATGAAAAAAAATTTGATGATTATTATCTCCATTTTAGCAAATTTTCCGGCAGTTTCGGATGGGAATTTACTTAGTAGATTCCATTGGTAAGATCTCTACGCTGAAATGCTTCATTCGTGTGAAAATCAATGATCCGAAATGTGGCACAAATTATTATATGTAAATGTTTCTCACTGGACTAAATACTTCTCTCCCGTCATTGCAGAAATATTATTCATTGCTGCCGAAATTAAATAACATTGGTTCAATAACGTATCTCACTAGCACAGTAATATCTCTCTCTCTGGCGCAGTAATATCTTTCTCACTGGTTCAGAAATATATCTAACCGGTGCAATAACATATCTCTCAACAGATACACTAGAATACACTTATATATACGTCCACGTATACAAATTCATATACACGAACAAAATCTACTCAAACCTAAACACTAACATATGTATCACATACACAACAACATAAACACTTCATATACACCACATATACCATGTTCACCACATGTACTCCTCCATGTTCACAACATATAGACCTCCATGTATATCACAAACACAGTAACATTTACAAAATACAAACAAATTATATAAGCCTAAATTCGTCGAAAAACAAAGGGTGCATCCCTCCGTCCACACACACACACACACACACACACACACACACACATTCCCCCTGGCGTTCTAATATACTCAAGTACTCCCAAACAAATCTGAAATATTGACTAACAGGATGAAATCTAAACACTCCTCGGAGCTCACAATTTCCAAACGAAATGAACAAAGTAAAAATGGGAAAGAACAGAAAAGGATTGCCAGATGTGCATCACAACAGAGAGAGAGAGAGAGACGAGAGAGAGAGGAGAGAGAGAGAGAGAGAGAGAGAGAGAGAGAGAGAGCGAGAGAAGAGAGAGAGCGAGAGAGAAAGAGAGAGAGAGAGAGAGAGAAAGAGAGGGAGAGAGAGAGAGAGAGAGAAAGAGAGGGAGAGAGAGAGAGAGGGCCAGGCTAGAACCCCACTAGCAAACCTAACCCAACTTTTACAAGTCAAATTTAAAAGCACTCTTATCTTTTTTCATATATAAAACATTGCCACAACAAAGACACCGCCTGACATAAACACGTCCAGTGTTCAACCTCACAAAGAATGAACACGAAAACACACGTAACCATCATTTTGTAACACGAAAGCTGATTACAGCGACACGAAACCAAAAACGGTTTAGCAAACGCACAAGAAAGCTGTTACATTCTGTTCACACAACGGCAGTTTGGGAGAATAATATAATTCAGTTGCCATTCGCAAGCCCCAGTAGTGTCGTATCTGTATTAAAAAAAAATTTATGGAATGAACCGTGTTTATAAAAGTAGTAAAATGGTAAAATGAACCAATAGTATTTAAACATAAGGAAATAAATATATAAGCACACATATAAAGATATATATTCCCACATATACCAACAATGTGTGTGAGTGTGTGTGTGTGTACTCACTTATTTGTGATTGCTGGGGTTGAGCTTTGGCTCTTTGGTCACGCCTCTCAACTGTCAATCAACTGGTGTACAGATTTCTGAGCCTACTGGGCTCTATCATATATACATTTGAAACTGTGTATGGAGTCAGCCTCCACCACATCACTTCCTAATGCATTCCATTTGTCATCCACTCTGACACTAAAAAAGTTCTTTCTAATATCTCTGTGGCTCATTTGGGCACTCAGTTTCCACCTGTGTCCCCTAGTGCGTGTGCCCCTTGTGTTAAATAGCCTGTCTTTATCAACCCTGTCGATTCCCTTGAGGATCTTGAATGTGGTGATCATGTCCCCCTTAACTCTTCTGTCTTCCAACGAAGTGAGGTTTAATTCCCGTAGTCTCTCCTCGTAGCTCATACCTCTCAGCTCGGGTACTAGTCTGGTGGAAAACCTTTGAACCTTTTCCAGTTTAGTCTTATGCTTGACTAGATATGGAGTGTGTGTGTGTGTGTGTGTGTGTGTGTGTGTGTGTGTGTGTGTGTGTGTGTGTGTGTGTGTGTGTGTGTGTGTGTGAGAGTGAGAGAGAGAGACACATGTACATATCTATATCCATAATTTGAATGTTCAAAACTGGAGGCTATAGTCGCTTACGGTTAGCCTCACTAAATTTTTAATATAAATTACTGTTGGGTACCTGCCTAACTTGGTCAGGTCGGGACAGAGAGAGAGAGAGAGAGAGAGAGAGAGAGAGATGGAGAGATAGAGTAATAAAGTTCCCACATTGTTCGAGGCTGGAGCCCACATGCTCGGTGCCAGCCTCGCCAAACTTTGCATAGTGACTGTTGGTGGTACGGAGACGGTCATAGTCGGATCGGGGTCGACACCCATTAGCCCTCCCTTGTATGATTCGGTAAATTATTCCACTTCCCAGTCTCGCTAAATACCAGACTCCATCCTCACTAAGATTCATCCACAATATCTTCAAATTGATGTAGTTTATTGATGAGGACTGAGCACAACACACACTAATTCATGCAAACTTTATTCATAATTTTAAAACTTGGTATGATAGGGAAATAGGACAGGAGTCATTGCAATAAACAGCCGATGGCTAAAAAGACGGGATCCAAGCATCAATGCTCGATCCTGCAATCACAAATAGGTGAGTAAACACACACACACACACACACACACACACACACACACACACACACACACACACACACACACACTCACACACACACACACACTGGGCGTATAAAGAACAGGTCACAGAGACGGCCAGGTTCCTTTGCTTCTTTGTCTCGTCCCACCTCGCGTGTAACGTAACAATTTGGCTCACTTATTTTTACAGGTATGAAGTTTATAACGAAAGGGTTGACATTATCCTAAAACTTGATTCATTATCACCGCTTGAGCGATAATTTCTGCGCCTGAGCAATAATCATCTTCAATATTTCATCTCTAGAACACTATGTTTTGAATGTTTTGATAAAGTCTTATTACAACACTCACCAAATTAAAAATATATAATAACAATATATAGAATGGGTTTATAATAACCTAATGCTCAAAGTTATTAAAATATTTCCTGTTATCATGTCCTGTTATTTCACTGTTATCATATCAACATTTCAAGCTTCAAATTCTTCTAAGCTGAAGGCAATGTAAATCCAATCCTTATATAATTAAAGCTTAAAATGTAATTAAGTAGTTATACTCTCCTTAGTCCCGGATCTCTCTCAACTGGGGCTCTAATTCTTAATGACAACATGGCGTATTAATAGTGCAATTATTTCTGGCGTGGATTAATTGGCCACTTGGAAAGGTAATTGAGAGTTACCATGCGTGAGGAGGGCATTTTTGCCAGTGATGCACAGAACTGGGGGCTGGCTAGCTTATATCAGTGATGCGCAGAACTGGGGGCTGGCTAGCTTATATCAGTGATGCGCAGAACTGGGGGCTGGCTAGCTTATATCAGTGATGCGCAGAACTGGGGGCTGGCTACCTTATATCAGTGATGCACAGAACTGGGGGCTGGCTAGCTTATATCAGTGATGCACAGAACTGGGGGCTGGCTAGCTTATATCAGTGATGCACAGAACTGGGGGCTGGCTAGCTTATATCAGTGATGCACAGAACTGGGTTAAAGTTGAAAGTAATGGAGTGGATGAATCAGGGGAGTATGGTAGGGTGAAGGGATAAGGGACAGATTTAAAAATAATCACAAAAGTGTTTGTATTTTAAGATAAGCTTATTACAGCTTATCAGCTTCGAACAAGGGATGTCATAATCTGTCAGATAATATTGTCATTATTTAATTATGATAGCTACCTTTGTAATTACATCTTCAAATATTTGTAATGATCCTTATACTAAAATGATTTAAAAAATAACATTCAATTCAATTCTACAACTATTATCTATTTTTTTTAATTGTTAAAAATTGACACACGTGTTATTAAATGTAGTTATTATTATTATTATAATTGATTTTTATATTTATGTCTAGTAAATTTTGAATGGCATGAGTCATGTCCAACATAACCAGTTTTGAACCATCATTGAAATCATTAATATTCTCTGCCGATAATTATTGACGATATATTTTTTATGTAAATTCCAATCACACCTTCCAGCAATTTTGTTCAAAGTGTAAATCCTCTTTATAGGCAAATTTATTCACAGATCGACCAATATATTCCAGTGTGGTGTGCACACTGCACTATTAAACATGATTGGAACCCATAATTTGCATTTCGTTTCAATTCCGATTCCATATTGATGTTCCATCTACTTCCTTGCAGATAGTCGGTATTAATTAAGGATTTTATTTACTGGGTAGTTATCCAAAATATTCTATTGCTTTGTAATTTGAATTGATGATTTGTTTTTGTAATTGTTTAGACAGAATATTACCAGGCGTTTGCCTCTGTCATAGTGGACAGACAGACAGGCCACGTTTGTTGACTCAAATGACAGTTTAATTAATTAATTTAATAAAGGGATTCGATCGTAATATTTCCCATAATATTCTGGTATTTATAAACACCAGAAATATGTTATTAAAACCGCGTATGTTGATATTAAGAGTATCTTGGGTGTTCACCTAATTGTTCTTCCCTAGTAGTGCTTATGCTGGTTGACTTCCAGCTCCTGGACCCCGATAATGAGCTGTTAATCAGCTGATGTTATTATTAGCCCGTCGTGATTTTCGCATTTATAGTTCAACATTTTAATTCATATTTGGAGATAGTCACCTATTGCTTGTATACTTACCTGGTTGGGCTTTTGGGGTTGAGGCTTAGCTCTTGGGTTTTCCTTCTCAGCTTTAAATTGACAGGTAAAATCTGTACCTTGGGTTCTGTTGTATATATTATTATTTATGGAGTCTAATTCCAGTATTTATTTTTGTAGTTAATTCCTTTCTACTATTAACTGAGGGTCGATGCTTTCAGTTTCCCGTTGCAAATCTTGCACTTCAGTTCTGAGGTAAAGCTAGTAGCAAACCTATTGACTTTTTCCTGTTCTGGTGGCCGGCCTGGGTGGGAGCTCCACGCTGGCGCTGCATACCGAAGACTTTATCTAACGTCCGTGTTGCAAGGAGTTCGGAATTATTATTGTATATTTCTTTTAATGCAGAGCTTATGTCCTCTGCTCTTCCGTACGCCGCTGATTTCAGGTTTGTGTGTATGTCGGATGAAAGATTTCTTGTGATGCATACTTGTCCATCCAGTGGTTCGGAATTACGGTTATCTTAAGATCTTGAGATGATTTCGGGGCTTTTTTTTTTAGTGTCCCCGCGGCCCGGTTCTCAACCAGCCCTCCACTCCCAGGAAGCAGCCCGTGACAGCTGACTAACACCCAGGTACCTATTTTACTGCTAGGTAACAGGGGCATAGGGTGAAAGAAACTCTGCCCATTGTTTCTCGCCGGCGCCCGGGATCGAACCCGGGATCGCAGGATCACAAGACCAGCGTGCTGTCCGCTCGGCCGACCGGCTCCCTTGTCATTTACCTCGATTAGGTTAGTTGCCTAGATTCGAACGCTTCAGGAAAGGACTTCGAAACCCTTCGGATTTGATGAGACAAGATCCGCTTCCCCTCCCGGAAGTTTTCCCCATCGCCCATAGGAATTACTTTGCATGTATTGGGATTGAACTCTAACAGCCATTTGTGGTCCTCTTGCAGGTTACTGCAGACGTTTTCTGTGACAATTTTCCCTCGACAATTGGCCTATTTTTCAAGCATTTTCCCTATCGACGACTTACATATTTCAGGAGATGCTTCAGTCACAGAACTAGCTCTCGTGTGGCTCCAATTGTTCTCTGTATTAGAGCTGAGATTCCTCCAGGGTCCGTGTAAGGAGGGAGACGAATTCTTACCTCGATTGTAATGGGAAGCAGACAGTGACAGATGAGGCTCCTCTTGCCTATCTTCTCCCTGACCCAGTCGCCCTGGTGCCATAGTTACCCTGGTGTCATAGTCACCCTGGTGCCATAGTTACCCTGGTGCCATAGTCACCCTGGTGCCAGTCACCCCTGGTGCCATAGTCACCCCTGGTGCCAGGCACCCTGGTGCCATAGTCACCCTGGTGCCATAGTCACCCTGGTGCCATAGTCACCCTGGTGCCATAGTCACCCTGGTGCCATAGTCACCCTGGTGCCATAGTCACCCTGGTGCCAGTCACCCTGGTGCCATAGTCACCCTGGTGCCAGTCACCCTGGTGCCATAGTCACCCTGGTGCCATAGTCACCCTGGTGCCAGTCACCCTGGTGCCAGTCACCCTGGTGCCAGTCACCCTGGTGCCAGTCACCCTGGTGCCAGTCACCCTGGTGCCAGTCACCCTGGTGCCAGTCACCCTGGTGCCAGTCACCCTGGTGCCAGTCACCCTGGTGCCATAGTCACCCTGGTGCCAGTCACCCTGGTGCCAGTCACCCTGGTGCCAGTCACCTTTGGTATTTATCTTAATTTTAAAATTTCTTCCTCTGCCAAATCTCCTTTGATCGACTCTCCTTGACCGAATATGCTCTTTAGGAGAGTCTACACTGTAGATAGATCTGTAGATCACTGTAGATCATAATAATCACTGTATACTGTAGATCATAATAGACTGCAGGCTCTATGGTCTATTACGAGTAACCGAAATAAAGAAAAACACTTTATAAAATGGTAAAAAAAAAAAAATTAAATTGGCAATCCTTCTCGATAATTAAATCTGTCAGAGCTCTTCACGATAACAATGCGGGTGGAATTTCTGTTATCGTTTTAATCTTCGTTGGCGCTGTTGCAACACTATGTATGGAAACGTAGCAAAACTGTGCATAGAAACGTTGCAATACTGTGCATAGAAACGTTGCAATACTGTGCATTTGCAGCGTACTCCAAGGGGGAAGTGTAGGTGCCAGCTAACACACCGCAAATCTAACGTAATCAGTTAAAAAATACGATGTATTTGGCACTACAAAAGCGTCGTAATATTAACGTTTCGAATGCATCAGCCTCGATAGGTTGGGTGGGTTACGGGGGTCCATAGGTCTCTGGTAAGGTATAACCGTTGCTTTATTTACGTATTGGGAAATCAGGAGAGGGCGCTGGTCCATATATATAAGGAGAGACGAGATGAACGAGAGACATTGCTCAATGGCTATAGTGCAGCTGGATTATAACCGAATGGTCTAGGGTTCGATTCCCGGGTAAGGCAAGACGTTTGGGCACGTTTTCTAAGGTAATAGGTACCTGCGGGTTAGTTATCTGTTGTTGGTTGCCTTCTGGTGTGTGTGTATATATATATATATATATATATATATATATATATATATATATATATATATATATATATATATATATATATATATATTTAAATAAAAGTCTCGTGTGTTAGAGGGTGTTCGGCCTCCTTTTATGGCCGAGAAATTAATGATGGAAGGCTGAAACAAACGACGCTTTTTGAGATAAACGAGCAAATTACAGGAGTGCACCCAGAGATAAATTGATTGTGCTCAGGGCTGGGAACGGGGACCTGATTTTGGGGAGGGCTGACAGTGGGATGGGAGGAGGAGCAGGGGGGGGGGAGCTGACTGCTTGATCGGATTGAAATGACAGCGTGGGGGCTGACAGCGTGGGGGGGGGCTGACAGCGTGGGGGGGGGGCTGACAGCGTGGGGGGGGGGGGGCTGACAGAGTGTTTATAGAAACAAAACAAGCGAGAAAAGACGAGTGTAGAGACGAGGACAGGACGGTACCTGTTCTTATGAATATAAGGAGACACTTGGAGCATAACTGGAGTCGTTATGGGACCTCTTCTTCACTCCAAGCACGGTCTGGGGTCTGGAAGCAAGCACACGATAGCTTGACTGGCTGGCCCACTGACAGAGGGCAATATGGAGGTCGTTACTGCGTCCACACGAAAGAAAACCTCTTTTAATTTTGATTAATAACAAAACAAGCAAACGTGAACAGAAAGCCAGGTGGAACTGAACGTCTGTCAGCTTCGTGAATCTGTAATGGCGTTGAAGCAACACAAAACGTGCGCGCGAAGGCTTAGTCAGCTTCATTCATTTGTTATGATGTCCTGAAATATATTTCATGTAAATTATTTATCCATTCTAAAACGTTTAAATGGTTAAAACTTGTGAAATTTTGATTGACAGATACGAATTCGTAAGTTAATACATTTGTGAAAAGCCCGGAGCTTGAAAAAGAGCAAGGTCCAGGGATCCCAACCAGTCTGATAAAAGACTTGACGATTGAACTGAAACAGGCCCCCAGGGGTTGGTCAAGCCTTACTTTGCTTGAGACGAAACCATTTGTATTCCAAGGGTTTGCAAGGGGGTCAAGATATCCTACCTCGTCAGTACGATACAGGTGCAGGCGATGAGTCACAATAACGTGGCTAAAGTAAGTTGACCAGACCACACACTAGAAGGTGAAGGGACGACGACGTTTCGGTCCATCCTGGACCATTCTCAAGTCGACTTGAGAATGGTCCAGGACGGACCAAAACGTCGTCGTCCCTTCACCTTCTAGTGTGTAGTCTGGTCAACTTAGGATACAGGATACTTGATATCTGCGATTTACGTACGATTTACAGGAAATACTTAGGAGCGAAAATAGTTGCATTCAGGATAGGATTGGGTTAATCGTGAGCTTAGAACACTGAAGCTGAGGTTCATTAATTGATCCGGAACTTTGCCAACTAAAGGTAATTGATTATGCTGGTGACCTTGGAGGTGGTAACAGGTAACTGATTGGTGATTGTTTTTACTGTCCTATCAAGGGGGATGGTGACTGCTGGAGAGAGTGGTGGTGGTAGTTACTGGTGATTGTAGGTGTTGTGGTGACTATGGTGACGGTGATTGGTAGTAGTGAATAGTATAACGGATATTGCAGGAGTATCTACTATTATGATTGGGCCTTTCGTATGAATGTAGTAATTGTTAGGGGGGTGATAAACGTGGCTGTAATGAATGATTTTTTTGTAGTTTGTAGTTACCATGATTGATATATCTCTGGTTGTGTCTGGTGGCGGTTACCATGAATGGTTTCTGGTATAGTGAGGTCTGGCTGTTTTGTTATGGTGGTGGTGGTGGATATGGTTGACTCTGTGGTGCCTGTGACGCCTGTCTGTGTGGTTATTGCAACTGTGGTTGTATCTCTGGTCGTTATGTGTGCATGATAATTGTGATTGAGGTTGTATGTGATGGTGAGACAATGGATACGTAGAAATAACAGTTATGATCGGGTCCTTACAGTGACGCCTCCTGTATGCACGGTACTAATAGTCGCTGTAATGAATGTGTTGCTTCACAGTGGCGCTTACTATATGCACGGTACATATACACCGTCGCTGAGTTAGGTGGAGGCCTCACAGTGCTGTCCTCACGCCTCCCAGGTATTCCTCACGCTGATTAGCCTAAGTGCACTCTAAAAAATTGTCTCGTTTTGCATTAGCGCGTTGCTGAATACCTGTTGTTTAGATATTCTGAAATCTGAGAGTGAATTTTCATATTTGTAATTATTCGATTGCAAACTAGTCCCATTTATCTTAAAATAGTCACATATTATTTACAATATTTTGCATGTGTATGTAGGTGTATAGGTATATATGTATGTTCGTATGTATATAGCATCGAGACAGTTTACCCGTGTTAATAAGTTGATTTCATGTATAAGTGGAAGGGGTGAATTTAAACATGTTTGGGCCAACAGGCCACCTGTGGACCACCACCAGGGTCCACAGGTGCCACATTCATGGCTCTATATGGAAGCAGGTTGACGAGGAACTAAGTAGAGCGAGCCAGGACATAGTCAATAGCACATACTCTAAGGAATGTGCTGAAGAGATCATTAAAAGGTGAGCTACCATGCTAACTGCATGACTACAAGGCTAACAACGTATTACCTCTTAAACTATTCCGCTGGAATTTGCTTATTTACCGCGGCTTACAAAACGGAGGAAAGAGTCCCTAGAGAGACATAATTGTTAGAAACGTGACCTCCCCTACCGACACCAACTCAGAAGACAGGGTTAATAATATACTACAAGAGCAAGAAAACTGCCAATTTGCTCATGAAAAACTCTCCCGACACAAAATAAAAACGCTTTGAAAGACCCCGAACACGTCGTTTATGCCTCCCCTGGAAACACAAACCGTAAATGTCTCTATTTTCTGCTTGTTACAACTTGTAATAAAGTTGTTACATCTTGGCTTGACGTGTTTATGACGTATTAGAACGTTGTTACAACTTGCTATATTGGTTGTTATAACTGGTTAGGAGGTGTTAAAACTTGTTCAAACGTTGTACCAACGTCGTAGTTTCGGTGTGTGTTTGGCGGGTCCACACGCCCACTTGGGGAATCTAGACGTGTGAACGACCTCAGCATACAGGAATGACAACAATATCTCTTTCAAGGCGCCTGACAATGCACAAACAGCAAAGCTCCCATAATGGAACACACATGATCTCTACACCCAACGAGACCATCGCCAGTGAAACCCAGACAAACAGGACCAAAATAATCTTCAGATACAACGACAATGAAAGATTGGACCCCGACGAGGCCCTAAATGTGAAGCAACTTCAGTCACTCATCAACAGTTAGCTAACTCTTGGTTAGACCGTGAGCTTAGAGACCACGACGGACCATCCAACATACTGCCCCAATCGTCATTTAAACATGATAATAATATATATATATATATATATTATATATATATATATATATATATATATATATATATATATATATATATATATATATATATATATATATATATATATATATATCGCACACATATTCACATAACTTTTGACAAATATTTCTTGATCCAACAAGCAATACAAAAAATATTCGGAGTCGTAACGTCAAAACATTCGGTGACCGGATTTTACAACCTTTTGCCGTGGAAACTCAAATACACGAAGAGGAAATATGAAGGTGTTGTGTATATTTCCGGCGCAGTT